TAAGAAGTTACTTTCTTCAGTAATGTTTTGAATTTCTTTTATCAAGTTGTTAATTTTTTAAATTTTCTTGCATTGTTCTCTTTACTTCTCCCAGTTTTTCCTCTCTCACTCTTATTTGATTTTTCTTTTGCTCTCTTTTATCTCTTTCTTTAGCTCTTTTTAGGAATTCTTGTTGGGCTTGTGTCCAGTCTGCATTTTTCTTTGATGCTTTGCAAGTATGTATTTTCAAGTAGTTTCTTTTGAATTTCTATCTTGAGCCTCCTGTCACAGTAGAAGCTTTTTATGGTTGTTCTTTTTTGTTCTTTTTTGCTCATTTTTGTAGCCTACGTCTTGACTTTGAACTTTATGTTAGAGTTTGGCTCTGCTTATTTCTGGAGAGGATGCCTGGCCTGAGTTTCATTCTGTGGCTCAATCTGGGAGATTCTGGGTTTTTCATGGTTCCAGGGTGGTATGATCTGTGGAGAAGTGTGTTCATTGCCCTCTTGGTCTGTGGTCAGATCCTTACACAATTAGGTTTCCTGATCCCTCATGACTGTGACTGATCCTTTCTGCCTTGGAATTGCAACCTGGAACTGGGTAATAGGCTACAGAGCTGCCAAGTGGCACCAGATACTATGCCTAGTGCTAGCGTAGGGGTTCCCTGGAATCTCTTTCTGACCAGGTGTTCTCTCCCTTTGCTGTCGCTGTGTGTTGTTAGTGCCCAGTGTTCCTGTTGCTGCTGCTGCTGCTGCTACAGCTGCTGCCTCTGATGCCCACAGCAGGTGTGACTTCTGCCAGCCCACATCCTAGTGTCTGCAGTACTCTCTGTTTATATAAGCTCTCCTGGGCTGGAACAGTGAGTCACTCTGTCTCTTTGTTGGCTTTTATACCCAGAATTCATTGTTCCTGCTATGGTTTTGTTGAAGTTTGGGGGGAAATTTGGCAGTTGGGAACTTTCACTCTGGCATCTTTTTTCTTTCTCTACTTACATGCTAGTTTGAAAAAAAATAAGGAAACTAGATTATATTTGAAGACATTATAGAAAATGAATTAATATAAATACCATCTGCATTGAATATGTATTTTTCCAGCATAGGAAGATCAGGTACTTTTGATTATGGTATGGCACTGTATTTTGCTTGAGTTGGCCAGTCCCCTGCTTCCATGAGTTGAGCAGGTTTTTCAGCCATTGGGTCTTGTTTCTATCACATTAAGCCAGGTCATTTATTTAAACTGATATTTCTTGTTGGACTTTGAAGGTCACTTGGCACTAGGCCATCTATGCTTTGTGGGTCAGTCTGTTGGATTTGGATTAACAGCTGTAGTCTCTATCATCTGCCACTGCTGTCCAGGTTAGGTGTTAACTATCTTTTTTCAGTGGATTATTACTATGCTCTTTCATCAAAGGCAAAAACCCTTAACCTTCTTTTGGCAGGAGCCACTCCTCTTTGACACCCTCAGGCCCTTGGTTCCTAAATTTCCCACCTACTGGCAGAAGGTTGGATAGGGATATAGTTCAGAACAAGGTTCCCTTTATGAAGTCTCCACCCTTAGTTATGGTAATTTTACAGTTACATTTTCCATGTAGCTTTAGCAGTTTTGTTGGAAGAGTACCTAGAAACTAGTGACTTGTCTTTTCTATCTTTTTCCCAAGCATTTGAACTCTTCCAAGTTTCAAGTATCCTTCTTAGATTTGGAATGCTTTCTTTACATCTGAAAGACTTTTGCATTTCACTGTCTTAACTTCAGCTTCATTGAAGTTTAAATGAGGCACAACCTCAAACAAGTATTACTATCCTTATTTCAAGAGGAAAAAACTTAGGCCCCAAAACTTTTCTGTGTTTCCATAGCTCTTGTCTAGAGGAGTTGAACCCAGCTCTTCTACAGTGCTCACATGCTCTTCTTATAGTTCTTCTTACGATGTTTTTTTTTTCCTGTTAATATATTATAGAGATAATAGTATATTCATAAAGCTGTAATGATAACAAATATAATTCGCCAAACCTAAAGTGAAGGAGTTCTTGAATACATTTATGTAAGGGTCTTTTCTTCCAGTATCAGAGCAAGGTCATCGAGTCAGATCTGAACCTAAATATTATAAAGCTTTTTTTCAACATTATTATTTATTCAGTCTTTGTTTAGATGGTATCAAGCGTATCACCTCTTGAGGCAATCAACCATTTTTCTTTTTGTAAATCTATGTGTCACATTGCTTCTGTTTTTGCCTCTCTCTTTCTCACTACCCCATTGCTTTTCTTCCTCTTTTTTTACTTTTCTTTACCAGTTTCCTCTCATTTGCTTTATATGTTATGAATTCCAAGCTTCAAAATCCCTTATTACTTGACTTTAACTCTTTTTCAATAAATATGTCCAGTGTGTTCCTTGACTTATTGCTCCAACCATTATTGCCATCATTTATTCATCACTATGATTCGATTTTCAGATACTTTACATTTTTTATATCTCTAGCATTAAATATCACAGTGGAATTAGAATCTTTTGTTGACATCCATTGTAATGTTTTAATGGTTAATGATCCTATTTGATCTCTCTGGGTGACTAGAAAGATTCTTTGACACTTTATCTGCCATCTTCTTCATCTTAATCCATTACAACCTAAAAATATTTGAGATTCTTTGAAAATAAGGATGAAAGGAAAATTTGGACTCTTTTTTTCTGTAAAAGTTGGAATTTCTATAGAAAGTATTTATAACTTGACAAAATTGAAAACTGTGCATATATCCAGCCTACTTATTTCACTTATGGAAATATTTGTCTTAGAATCTACCCCTCAGTAAACATTAAGTACCTATTATGAGCCAGAAACTGTACTGTATGTTGAGGATATAAAGACAAAAGTGAAACAATCTAAAGAATTAATGAAAATACCCCAGATAGCCTATCCCATTTCCTCCCTAATCTAGTTCAAACTTGATATGTTGTGGCAGCTAGATGGTAAGCTGTCTTCCCTTCTCCTTCTATACGATCTTCTTTGGTGACCTTATCAACTTCTGTGGATTCACTTATCTATGATTAGGTGTTTTTCAGATCTATTAAACTATATAGTGTGTTGAAAAGAGCACTGGACTTCAGCCTTGTATAGTTACTAAATATTTGATCCTGGGCAAGTCACTTAATCCCCACTTCCTCAGTTTTTCCATCTGTAAAATGGAGATAACAATAGTACTTACCTCTTAATATTGTTATCTCCATTTGAGGATAAAATACAATATTTGTAAAACATTTTGCAAACCATAAACCACTATATAAATTCTATGTATTATTATTTATTATTTTTATGTTATTATTATGTATTTATCCAGCCCTAACCTCTCTTTTGAATTCTAGTCTTTCTTCTACATTCACTTTTCAGACATCTCAAACTGTACGTGCCAGAGATCTCAAACTTGATATGTCCAAAACATAACTTTTTATCTTTCCCCCAAAACCTTCCCCTTTTCCAAACTTTCCAGTTATTTTTGAGGGCCCCATCCGTCGTCTAGGCTCACAACTTTGGTGTCCTCTTCATATCCTCACTTGGACTTATCCCACTGATCCATTCTATTGCTCAAGTCTTGCTGTTTCTGCTTTTACAGTATCTCATATATGTCCCTTTCTCTCCACTAACACTGCCTGATACTACCCTGGAACAGGCAGTCATCAATGACCTCATGCCTAGACAATAGTCTTTTTGCACATTCTCCTTCTCTCATCTCCCCCTTCTACAATTCATCCTCCTCTTAGCTATCAAGCTGATCTCCTTAAAGTGACGATCTATCCATATTACTCCCCTTACCCCTGGTACAGACACATACACACACACACACACTCTCTCTCTCTCACTCACTCAGTTAACTCCAGTGGCTCCCTGTTACCTCTGGGATCAAATGGAAAATTCTCTGCTTTTTAAAGCCTTCTCCAACCTGGCTTATTCTTGTCTATCCTGTCACCTTAACACTTAATTCCCTACCACGTACTTTATGATCTAACAAACTTCATAGTTCTTTCTTTGGATGTGGATAGCATTTGAAGATGTCTGAGATCCTTGCATTGCTGAGAAAGGTTAAGTCTATCAATATTAGTCATCGCACAACATGGCTGTTACTGTGTACAACTTTCTCCTGGTTCTACTCACTTCATTCAGCATCAGACCATACAAGTTTTTCCAGGTTTTTCTGAAGTCTGCCTGCTCATCATTTCTTACAGCACAATAGTATTCCATTACATTCAGATACCACAACTTGTTCAACCATTCCCCAATTGATGAGCTTCTTCCCAATTTCCAATTCTTCGCCACCACAAAAAGAGCTGCAATATTTTTGTACATGTGGGTCCTTTTCCCATTTTTATGATCTTTTTGGGATATAGCCCTGCTGGGTCAAAGTGTATGTACATTTTTATAGTCCTTTGGGCATAGTTCCAAATTGCCCTCTAAAATGGTTGAATCATTTCTCAGTTCTACCAACAATGCATTAGCGTTCCAATTTTCTCACATCTTCTCCAGCATTTATCATTTTCCTGTTTCGTCATGTTGGCCAAACTGATAAGTGTGGTGTGGTACCAGGGACTTGGTTTTTATTGTTGTTGTTTTGTCCTTTCTTTGATTCCCACCTCTTAGCCCTGTGCCTGGAATATAATAGTAGGCCCTTAATGAATGCTTGATGATGATGATGAAGATTGACCTTATCATAAGTATCTTGAGTTTCAATCTTACTTCTGACATTTCCTAGTGTTATGACAGTGGGCAAGTCTATTAACCTCTATCAGTCTCATGAAAGTTTCCTAATCTGTAAAATGAGGATAATTAATAGCACCTACCTAACAGGACTGTTATGAGAATCAACTGATATTACATATATAAAGTGTTTTACAAACCTTAAAATTCTTTATAAATACTCTTTTTAGGGAGGAATTCTAACTACTTTCATACTCTTGTTGCAGTACTTATCATATTTTTAATAATTCCTGAGGAATGTAGATTTCCAGTGGCAGTTATGTATTCTCCATTTCCTTTTTTCTAGATGAATTGATGAAGAATTATATTTCTGAACTTCAGAATACGGAAGAAATGATTCGCTGTGGATTTTCACTGGCCTTGGGTTCCCTTCCAGCTTTTTTTCTGAAAGGCAAACTTAAGCTGGTGAGCCCTGATTTTGATACTAATAAAAATATACAAGTTTGGAGAAATAGCAAGTTTGAAGCAGCTTGTCCTGAACAGAACATGCATATTAAAAATTGAGAGAATTGGATTATAACATTTTTTAAAAATCCAAGCAGTATTTTCAGTTTTCTGTGGAGACTTTCAAGTTCTTGTGGGTATATCTGAGAGAGAAAGAGAAAGAATATGAAAACTAACTTCAAGTAGATTGGTTTTTTTCTTTAATGCTCTGTTTTCATATGCATCTAAAATGAAGAACTTGTGTGTAAGTTCATTCCAACTGAATTTTATTTGGCTATTAGGATGGAATTCAGTGTGCTAAGTAGAAATGAGACTTCTCAGAAAAATTGTTTTGCTTTGAGGAAACTGGTGGAATGATTTGGATCCCAGCTTTGACAGTTCCTAACTATATAACCTTGCACAAGCCACTTAACTTCTTTCATCCTTAGTTTTCTCAACTGTAGAATGATAAAGTTGGACAAGAGGAACTCTCTGATTTGGACAGGTTGAGTTTGAGGTGCCTATGGAACATAGTGTGAAATATCCAATAAGTAGTTGATAATGTGTGACTACAATTCAGGAGATGATATAGGGCTAGATAAAAAGATTTGGGAATCATTTATATAAATATGATTATTAAACACATGGGAGCTGATCAGGTGACTGAATATGAGATTGAAGAAAAATAGATGAGATCTCTAGACAAGAGACCATATTTAGGAGGAATGATGTAGATGATGAACTAGCAAAGAAAACTGAGAAACAATCAGACAGGTGGGAGGAGAAGCAGGAGAGACCAGTTTTGCCAAAGAAACAAAGATAGAAACAAAATACCAAAAGGAAAGGGTGAGTACCACTATCAGATGCTTTGGGCAGGTTGAGAAGAATGAAGATTGATATGAAGCTACCAAATTTTGCTCTTGAATTAATTGCTAACTTTGGATACAGCAGTTTCAATTGAATGATAGTTCAAGAAACCAGATTGCAGATGGTCAAGAAATGAGTGAGAGTAGAGGTTGAAGCAGTGAATGTAGACAGATTCTCCTTGTCTTCATCATTGTCATCATCATCTTCCTCTTCTTCTTCTCCTTCTTCTTCTCCCCCCTCATTAAGACAATTTAAATAATTTAATTGCTTAAATTTAACAATTTAATAAGTAGGTTAACCTGCTGATACTCCTCAGTTTAAGATAGCCACTGGGATCAACTTCCCCAGTAGCAGGGATTACAGGCTTGTGTGCCACCATGCCTAGTGTAGAAAGCTTTTTAGGAGTTTATGAAAGGAAGGAGAGATAAAGAATGAAGACTTGGAAGGGCTGATAGGGTTAGTGAGGGTTTCTTTCTGGAAAAGGAAGATTTGGACATGTTTAAAGACAGCTGGAGCAAATTTCACAAGGCCCTTGAGCTATCATTCAACAACCTTGAGCTATCATTACCTACTCAATTGACTAAAATGATGGAAGGGGAAAGTGACAAATCTTGGGGAGAATATGGAAAAATTGGGGCACTAATACATTGTTGGCGGAATTGTGAACTGATCCAACCGTTTTGGAGAGCAATCTGGAATTATGCCCAAAGAGTTATTAAACTACCTGTACCTTTTGACTCAGTAATACCACTGCTTAATCTGTTTCCAAAGATGATTATGGAAAAAAGGAAAAGAACCTGTACATTCTAAAATGTTTGTAGCAGCTCTCTTTGTGGAAGCAAAGAGCTAGAAACTGAAGGGATGCCCATCGATTGGCTGAACAAGTTGTGGTATATGATTGTTTTGAAATGCTATTGTGCTATAAGAAATGATGAGCTCAAAAATGATGAGTTAGAAAAAGCATGGAAAGGCTTGCACAAAATAATGAAGAGCAAAATGAGCAGAACCAAGGCAGCAGCTGCAATATTCTTTTAAGAACGACTTCAAAGGGGACAGCTAGGTGGTGGAGTGGATACAGCTGTGTGCCCTTGGGCAAGTCACTTAACCTCAATTGCCTTTAAAAAAAAATCCTCACTGTATCAGGGGCAGCTAGGTGGCGTAATGGATAGAGCACTGGCCCTGAAGTCAGGAGGACCTGAGTTCAAATCTGACCTCAGACCAAACACTTGACACTTAGTAGCTGTGTGACCCTGGGCAAGTCACTTAACCCCAATTGCAAAAAAAACCCAAAAAACAAAATGACTTCAAGCAAATAGTTATTCTGTAGATTATAAATACCCAAATTAACTATAAAGGACATATGAAGAAAGATGCTATCCACCTCCAAAGAAAAAATTGATAAATAGATGTATGTATAACATATATATGTATATATGTGTGTGTATATACACATACACACACACATATATATATATATCTATTTGTGTCTAATGATAGCCATCTCTAAGGTGGGGGTAGGGAACAGGGGAAGGAAAAAAAAGAAATTTACATGATAATTTTGTTGTGTGTTTGAAAGGAATAGCAAGTTGTGTATAGCAAATTTGTAGTTTCATGTGCAATCATCTTTTTTATTGTACTAAGTTATGGAAATGATTGTTTTATTCCAGAAATTAAAAAAGAAAAGACAGTAGAAGGGACAGATAATTATTATCTCCTAGTGGAGATGGAGAGGAAAGAATTGAGAGTGAAAGTTGAGATATTGGCCTTGTGAAAGCAAAGGGTCACCTCTTCATCAGAAATACAGGAAATACAGAAATGTAGAAAGAGAGGAGAGATGATAACAAGAGGTTTTGAGATGTAGAGAAGAGGGAGCTCACCACCCCTGACCTCTTATAGGAAAGAATGGTATATGAATTTTGAGGAGAGAGTGTTAAGTTTTGACATATCCTCTGTGGGAAATGGGATAGAAAAATCAGTTAGGATTGTAAAAGGATTGCCATACTGCAAAAAGGGCCTAGTTGACTCTGGTTTGTGATTTTCTCTAGTTCCATTCAGCAGTAGAGACAGGATACAGATAGACGAAGTGATCCAGGGTTGTGGTTGGCAAGGCATGTTGATACAATTAGGGAACAAAGGATTCCAGAAAAGAAGATACTGTAGAGGTAAACTGTTTAACTATTAAGGTGAAGATTGAGGTGAATGGGAGTTAAAGAGTTGGAGGTGGGAGTTGAGGAGTGGAAGATGTTACTTTTAGGCAGTCAGATACTCACCAACACATCTCATTTAGTCTTTTGTGAAACCTTAGAATAATAGGTAGATTATTATCAATATTAGCCCCATTGTATAGATGAGGAAACTAAGGCATACAAGGTCACATATATGTGGTAGAACTAAGTCTTGAACCCAGGTCTCCTGAACAGACCAAGTCTAGTACTCTCTCTGTTACATTGTATTGCCTTGTACTACTAATAAGGCTTTCAAAATGAGATTTTCTTTTTATAGTTTATAACTCTCCTGATAATTTTCATGTTGCCTTTCAGGTGTTAGATGGCTTAAAAGCTGTTACTCACATTTCTCCTAAGGACGTGAGCTTTGCTGAAGCAAGAAGAGATGCCTTGAAAGCAATTGCCAAGTAGGTCTTATGACCTTATGAATTTTCCTTTACGTCTGAACTGTGACAAGTAAAAAAGCTATTTGAATATGAATTTATGCATTGATAAAATAAAATGTCCATGCTTATTTTATGTTTAATTTTTGTTAATAACAAGGTTAATAAAAGTTTGATTAGAGCTAAATGCATGATGAATTGTTGGGTTAATTTCTATGGTTTCAGAATATTGGTATGTCTGTTCTTTTCTCTGTGTTCTCATGAAGTTCTGTTCACTATGTAGTGACTTGTGGCTTGGAAGCCCTGGGAGAAAACAATTCTAGTTCTTATTTATGCAGCACATTATGGTTTACAGAAGCACTTCACAACAGGCCTCTGAGATAGGTAGTGCATGTATAAACTATTCTATCTTCTGAACACCTCCAATTACATGTTCCATTAAGTTCCAAATTTAATCTGTCCAAAACAAACCACTGCTCCTTCTAATTTCCCCATTTCCATTAAGGGTACCACAATTCTCCCCGTCACCCAGATTTGCAACCTATAAGTCATTCTTGACTCTTCTTCTTTGCTTACTCATCCTATCTCCTCTCCAAACAGTTAGCAGTCTTATATAAGCTTCTGTCTCCTCTCATCAGTTCCCTTCTCTCCAGCCACATAGCCACTATTCTAGTTCAGGGCCTATTCACTTCTTGCCTGTGCCTTTTCAATAGTTTATTACTTGGTCGTTCTATATCTATGTGCTCCCTTTTCCAGGTTAGAATCTACACTCTTGACAAATTAATATTCTTTTTTTAGGCAATTGGGGTTAAGTGAGTTGCCCACGGCCACACAGCTAGTAAATGTCAAGTGTCTGGTCTGAGGCTGGATTTGAACTCAGGTCCTCCTGACTCCAGGGCCGGTGCTATATACACTGCACCACCTACCTGCCCTGACAAGTTAATATTCTTAAAGCACAGGTCTTCAGTTTACTTACCTGTAAATGTGAAACCCAGGATAATGTTAACTTCTTGAGAGCAAGGACTATTTGGCTTTGGTATCCCCAGTGCTATCACAGTGCCTGGAACAATGTTAGGTGCTAATTAAATGTTGCTATATGATCCTCTCTTTTCACATAAGGAAATAGAGGCTCAGAAAGGTTAGGTGACTTGGTCACACACAGGAAGCAGGCAGAACTTAGCTCTTCAGACCAAAACCCAGTGCTGATTAAACTGAGCCACATAGTTTCTCTAGAAAGTGGTATCAACTGGTACTTTAAAAAGATAAAAATTTAAAAATTAAAAGAAAGAAAATGACCAAGGCTGATGCATCTAGCTTGCCTTTACCTCCATCACGTTTCCATTTTCACTGAGGCAAAGTAGGCAGAACTTCATTCTATATAAAGCCCTTAGGTTGCACATGCCCTCCTGTGATATGTTTTTTCCATTCAAGGCTGCCCTTCATGTTCACTTTAAATTGGTTTCATCTGTATAAATAAATTGAATATTGAGGAATATAACATGAATTACACATTGATAAAAGAATCCTGTCAGATCCAGACATCCCTTGCCCACTTACATGCAATTGTTACTCATGAAGAAGTAGAGAAGGCCTCTTATGCCCTCTCTGTTGCCATTTATTATCTAATGCCTCTTAAGCTATAGTGACATTACTGAGTGTGACCTCATAGAAAGGTTTTGCTTTTTTTTTTTTTAAGAAAAATAAGAGTTGATATAATATAGTGGTTTAAGATTTACAAAGCTGTTTTCACATGCTATTTCATTTAATTCTCCTGAAAATCCAAATAAGTAGGGATTGCAGACATTATTATTCCTGTTTTATAAAGGAGGAAACTGAGATGCTAAGACATTAAATGACTTGCCCATAGTCAGAGTAGAGCTCCTTCTGATTCAAGTTTAGCATTCTTTCCACTTAAAGTAGTTTGCTTTTGTAATGCACAGAATAGTCTCAGTTCCCATAAGAGGCAGTCATATAACTAACTCAAGAGTATATTGATAAATTTTTAGTATTCTGTAATAGAAAAATATACCACACTGTCAATAATATATACTATGGAAGATAGAAGCTTTGATGAGAAGACATGATTTAAGCATGTGTACTTTTTTTCTCAGGATTTGTCAGACAGTAGGAGTGAAGGCTGAAGCATCTGAAGATGATGTTATATGCAAAGAAAATGTTTACCAGATCTATGACACATTCCTTGATTGCATGAATGATTACACTACTGACAGCAGAGGAGATGTTGGAGCATGGTAAGATACCCAATGTTTGACAGTTGATTTTTTTTTAGAGACAGTCTTTTAAAAATTATATATATTGTTGTAAAGTATATAGGGACTTTGGATGAAGAACTTCTGTGTTGATCTGAATTAAGAGGAAATATAGCGATGATACTGTCAAATGGTACAATTGTACCCATTTAAGAATGTAGACATTCACTAAAGGTTCTTCACAACACTTCATCATCACCTATTTATTAAAAATGTTGCTTCCAACATTGTGGGGAGATACAGTAGAAGCCAGTTCCTCATATGTTAGGAACTGGAGAGGCTTCTACCAAAAATGAGGTGATCTGCCTCTGTCACTATAGTCTAGGAGCTGAATTGCCCTAGGAAGTTTATGGCCAAAGGTTCTCCTTAGAAAAGACTACACATAGATATTGTGATTATTTCTTAACTTTTCCCTTACTGGAAGCAATGTGTAAAATGCATAGCTTTCACAATCTCGGATGATGTTGTTAGGTCTATACTTTGCTATTTGCTATCTTTGAGAGACAGTGGAAAAAGTACTGGATTTCGAGTTAGTAGACCTGGGTTTAAGTTCTAACTCTGACTTGACGTAGCTAGAGCAAGCCCCTTATTTTCTCTATGCCTTAGTTACTCCTTGCCTTTAGCTTTACAGATTTAATAGAAATAGATCTAGACTTGGAATTAGAAAGATCTAGGTTTGAATCCTACATCACATAGTTATTAGCTATCTGTCTCTGGCCAAATCACTTTAATTCCTGTGCTTCATTTTTCTCATTTGAAAAATGAGGGGGCAGCTAGGTGGCACAGTGGATAGAGCACCGGCCCTGAAGTCAGGAGTACCTGAGTTCAAATTCGACCTCAGACCAAACACCTGACACTTACTAGCTGTGTGACCCTGGGCAAGTCACTTAACCCTAATTGCCTTAAAAAAAAAAATGAGGGAGTAGAATCAGATGGCCTCTGAGCTTCCTTTTAGCTTTGATTCTTTGATATAGGATATGCTGGTGATCATATTTGTACTAACTACCTCAAAGATTTATCATGAAGAAAATAATTTTTATACTATAACATGCATAATTTGAATTCATGATGATTATAGACTCTAGTGTGTCCTATTTATTTTAAAAAAGAGTATCCCCAAATCTATTCATATCTTTATTCATAACCTATCTTTTTTTCCTTCATCTCTTCATTAGGCAGTATTCTCTTTATGATTCTAGAAATAATTTTCTCCTTACTGAAAATACCTGACTGAAGTAACATTAGAGTTTAGTGAACCTGTGATGAGTTAAGTCTTTTGAGTGACTTTTAAAAGCCATTTTGTGTTTTCTCCCTTTAGTTAGTCTACAGTGCCCGTTAATGCTTAAAATGAAAGGACAGCTAATTATGGGAAAAGATGTGTCCCAAAGATTTGCTTAAAATACAAGGGGAAGCAAAAAACAAATTCAGAGAGAGCAAATTGGAAAATTCTAGATTTTTATTATGATGAAGGAAATAGAAGTTTAGTGCCATGTAAACTAAAGCTTAAAAAAAGATATTAGTGAAATCATCCTCTGCCTTCGAGAATTGCATAAATATTTAATATTTATGTGGTTAATCAGTCAACAAACATTTATTGAGCACCTACAATATGCCAGGCACTGAGGATACAAGTACAAAAAAGAAAGACCTTAAGGAGCTTATAATCCAATGGAGGATAGTACAGGAGTTGAGGGTAAAGAAGGTACTGGGAAGAGGGTTGATCATAATGGAGTTCCCTTTAAAGAAATGTAGTCTAGTGGGAAAAGAAGAGGTGGTTGACTTGAAGCCCTGTTTAAAGGGAAGCTTTGAGAGGAGTACTTTGCTTTGCTGTAATCAAAAGAGCAGAGAAACTGAGGAGATGTTAATACCAAGGCTGATGCGTTCTTGAAGGATAATATATTTCCTGATGATGAGGTTCCTAGGGAGCATGATCATGATGGAGTTCAGACCAAAGGAGTATAGCTAGGTGGTAAATGAAGAGAAATTGTATGGCTCTCTGATGAGTGAACCTTAATGTATTAGTGCTTATTTTAACTCTTACAACTGAGAACCTTGATATCTATTATAGAACCTCAAACAAACCCAAAAATAAGTGACACTGGCAAGCCCTACTTGGCAAATCACTGTCACAAAATTTATGCCTTTTACTCCTAGTGAAGTACCTAGAGCACTGTGCATTTCAATGGTCTCCAGAGGCATTACTATATTAAAATATAGTAAAATAGTAAATATAGTAAAAGGCTCCTTAAAAGTAATGGCCTAATTTTATACATCTTTTGTATCCCTACTGACCACCACAACGCCCAAAGGGCAATGAGTAAATATTCATATAGTCTTTACTCTTAGGGATTTGTTTCACTTATGCTTTTCAATCAACAAGTATTTATTAAGCATTTCTTTGCCAGGCAGTGTGCTAGATAATGAGACACAAGTACAAAGAATGGAAAAGTCACTTCTGTCAAGAAGCATATATTCTAATGAGAGAGTGGTGATAATTGAGTATACAATCAGTTGGATCAGACAGGAAGGTACAGGAATAAGTGCACATGTAGAAAGGTTGACCTTGGCAAAGAGAAATGCCATTTCTTGGCCAGAGGTTGAGGAGAATGGAGAAGAGAGTGAGAAATTATGTCAAGAGGTTTTGAGATGAAGACTTAGGGGAGATAGGGAGTTCAGGTGTTTCTCAGTCACGATAGAGGCAAAGAGGAGTGGGCATGTGGGGTGTGGGAAGAGGCTTGAGGAGGGAAGAGAAGGTTGGGAATAGCTTCTTTGAAGAATGAGATAGGGAATAGGTTAGGAAGAAATAAAAAGAATGTCAGATATTGTAATTATAGAACTGAAACACTTGTGAGTTATAATTAGATCTAGTATGTGACCATTTCTCTGGCTGGCTAAGGTGGAAAAAGGTCATGGAATTTATGCACATGGTAGATAACCAATAAATATTTGAAAGAAGAGTGAATGAATTAACAATTAATATTCATAGTGATGCTGAGCCAACAAGAACATGTTCAGTTGTATTGAATGTTCTCTGTAAGAGAGCAGAGATATTTGTAATATTTTTAGAAGCATTTTCCTTTTAAAATAGTTATATTCTAAAAAAATTTAGTCCTTTGAGAAAACTCTTTCAATTGCCCAGAAACTTCACTTGCTATATGCAAATTAGACATTATTTTATTATGATCATTGTTCCTTCTTGTGGCTCTAGGAGTCTAGGGAGTTGAACTAATTGGGCCAATAATAAAAGAATTCTCCTTGTTGGTTGAATTGAATCATGGCTTTAATTTTTCTGTTTATACTTAGAAGCCATTCCTGTTCTTCAATAACTAACAGTATAGTGAAGTAAATATTTTAGTAGTTCTTGCATGTCCATCAGAGGGTGTAATTGGTAAGGGATTGACTACTACTTCATAACATTCTTACAGAGAACTATAAGGTTAGTTCATATTTTGCCCCTTTATTTTTTTAATTAATTAATTTATTTTTAGTTTTCAACATTCACTTCCATAAAATTTTGAGTTCCAAATTTTCTCCTGGTCTGCCCTCCCTTCTATCACCACCCCCTTACCCCTTTCCCTTCCCCTTCTATTTTCCTGTAGGACAGGATAGATTTCTATACCCCATTGCCTGTATATTTTATTTCCCCATTGCATGTAAAAACAATTTTTAACATTTGCTTTTAAAACTTTGGGTTCCAAATTCTCTCCTTCCTCCCTCTCAACCCACCTTCATTGGGAAGGCAAACAACTTGATACAGGTTATACATGTGTAGTCATGCAAAACACTTCCATAATACTATGTTGTGAAAAACTAACTATATTTCCCTTCATCCTATCCTACCCCCCATTTATACTATTCTCTCCTTTGAGTCTGTCCCTCTTCAAAAGGGTTTGCTTCTGATTACCCCCTCCCCCCATCTGCCCTCCCTTCTATCATCCTCCTCTCTCTTATCCCTTTTCCTTCTATTTACCTGTAGGGTAAGATAGATTTCCATACCCAATTGAGTGTGTATGATATTTCCTCCTTAAGCCAAATTCGGTGAGAGTAAGATTCACTCATTCCCTTTCACCTTCCCTCTCTTCCGGTAAAAGCTTTTTCTTCCCTCTTGTATGCAAGATAATTTAACCCATTCTACCTCTCCCTTTTTCCTTCTCCCAGTATAATCCTGTTTCACGTCTTAATTTTATTTTTTAGGTATCATCCCTTCATATTCAACTTACCCTGTGCCCTCTGTCTATTCCCTCCAACTACCCTAATACTGACAAAGGTCTCATGAGTTACTAATATCGTCTTTCCATGTAGGGAATATAAACAGTTCAACTTTAATAAGTCTCTTATGATTTCTCTTTCCTATTTACCTTTTCATGTTGCTCTTGAGTCTTATATTTGAAAGTCAGATTTTTTATTCAGCTCTGGTTTTTCCATCAAGAATGCTTGAAAGTCCTCTATTTCACTGAATGACCATTTTTTCCCCTGAAGGATTATACTCAGTTTTTCTGGGTAAGTGTGTCTTGGTTTTAATCCTAGCTCCTTTGCTCTCTGGAATGTCATATTCCAAATCCTCTGGTCCCTTAATGTAGAAGTTGCTAAATTTTGTGTTATCCTGATGGTGTTTCCACAAGTACTATAGGCAGAGTACTTGATGAGCGCTGAGAATACAACAGAAAGGTAGAGACAGTCCCTACTTTCACATTGCTCACATTCTAATGGAGGAGCAAATGGTAATACAGCTTCTTAAATATCATTTCCAATGATAAAATCACTTCTGTTTCTGATGTTGAACCATTTGATAGTGCCAAGGAATTGGTGGAAAGAATTATTTTTTTTTTTTGGTTCTTTGGTATCTTGAGGAGGAAGGAACTATACCACATGCAGAAGCAGGTAGTTAGAATAGCTGGCTCATTCTTCACAGAAGTTTCTTCTTTGAATGATGGCAGTGAGGACTAGGCTGGGAAGAGGACCAGTGGTCTGGGTGATGTTGC